CCAGACAGGATAAAACTTAATGAATAGCAGTCCAAAAGTGACTGCTGAAGATAGGAAATCTTAGTACTCAAACTCAGAGATTCAATAAACTCATATAAATTTGCTGCAAGCCTTGCTCTGCGCCCAGCACTCTATTTTATTTCTTTAGAACATCAGTTGTAAAGCTGTTCTGATTTTTTTTTAAAAAATCCATTCTTTCTTTCCTCTTTGAATAAAAAATGAATTAAAGTCAGCAAGACATTTTGCAAATTTGACACGTGACATTTATGATTTAGAAAAAATCATGTACTATTGAAATACATTTTTGACTGAGAAATACAAAATTAATTTAAACTGTTATCTATCCAGTGGTTAAATCTATACTATCAAAATTAACTGTATGACAGTAATCATCTCAAATACCATTTCGGTTGCTGTTAAGTGCCACCTTATTGCAGTGTTCTTAGACTGAGGTATGCATGGGTACAATATGGGAAACTTGTTTAAAGTGGGTTTCTACTCTGAGGCCTGTAGTGAGGACTGGAAAGGTCAGTGAGAGACTATGGGTTCTCATAAAGGGATCCAGAACTAATGCATGGATCATAAAGAAGGTACATGAAAGACTTACATGTCTTTGATGTGTTATCAATAAAATTACTGCATTTTATTCCCTGCATTCAGATTTTAGGCCAAAATATAAAGTCATTCTGTAAGTAAGGGTTTCATACTTCCCTATAAATCTTCATAATATAGGTATATCGAGCTATTTTTAATCCAAGAGTCCAAGAGTCTGAAAAAGGGTTTGCAAGCATGTTATCCCAACATTTTGGAAGAGGCCATCAGGGTATTCTAGTCCAGTACGCTGTAGTGGGGAAAATGAAGTATAGAGAGGTCACTTGTGTTACCTTAGGTCAAAAGACTCTTTAACTGGAGAGTCAGAGAGAGTATAGGCCTTCTCTTGATTCAGGATCTTTGTAAGTCATCAAAATACGTGATGTTTTTGGTACTCAGGAAAAGTATATAGAACTAATTTCAAACATACTCATGGGGATATATATGATGCGCTATTGAACTGAAATGCTTTATAGTTGAAAAGTAAAACCTACTAAGTTTAAATGAAAGGAAACATTCAAAGTTAGCACTAAGGAGAAAGAAAAGGGGAAATTGTTTGTTTGATTTTCTCTTACTATAGAACAGATAGGTATTGCCCCATTTACCAATGAAAGGCACTGAGAACCAGTTTACAGACTTCATAAGATAGTTTTCTGGAGCTGGAATCCATGGCTCATGAACAATGGGTTCAATTTACTTTGTTTAGTCACAAAATCAAAATTATTATCTTTTAAGTACTAAAATATGGAGTAATGCAATTTATATTTTTAAACTGTGTATATTGGGGTGCCTGGGTGGCTCAGTGGGTTAAAGCCTCTGCTTTCGGCTCAGGTCATGATCTCAGGGTCCTGGGATCTAGCCCCACACAGGGCTCTCTGCTCAGCAGGGAGCCTGCTTCCTCCTTTCCCTTTGCCTGCCTCTCTGCCTACTTGTGATCTCTGTTTGTCAAATAAATAAATAAAATCTTAAAAAAAAATAAACTGTGTATATGGGGGCACCTGGGTGGCTCAGTTGCTTGAGCCTCTGACTCTTGGTCTCTACTCAGGTCATGATCTCATGGGTTGTGGGATTGAGCAGACACCCCCATACCCCCTTCCATATGCACACTCAGGAACTCTGCCTGAGTTTCTGCCTTCCTCTCCCTCTGCCCCTCCTTCCTCATAAATAAATCTTTAAAAAATAGAATAAAATTGTGCATACTCCTCACCAAATTTCCATTCTTTTTAAAAATGGTATTTTGTGCTTGGCTATCTTTAAAACACAATAGCCACATGATAGATATTACAACCAGAAAGTACAAGAATACACACTTAAATAAAAATGTGCAGCAATTTTACAAGCTCTTCATTAACTTTATATTATCAATTATGCATGCATATTAAAATATAACTTTAAATACATAAATTCCTTTCTTAAGAAAGTTTTCTTAGCTTATTGAATTTTTCCCTTCTCTTTTACATGTAAGATTCTCCCTAACTTCTTGTTCTTGCTCCACACTTTCCTCCATTCAAAGTATTTCCCATTAGTAAAGTTATTTATTTGAGCAGCAACTGGGACAGTGACATGTGAACAGCACACCAGCTTGCTGTTTGCTGAATGGTTTAAATTACTGTACCTCATTGTCATCCAAATCCTGTTTTTCCCTTGTACCTTAATTCAGATGTCTCTTTAAGGGTGAGAGTTGTCAGGTTTTAAAATATTCCTATTGCTTTCTAAAGGTGGTATTATAAATCTAGGCCTTTTTACAACTGATGTAAAAAAACATGATAGCTCAACTGCTATCTATTTTCCTTGGAGAACTGGTTCTTCTGTGCTGTGTAACCGTTTCTTATGTGAGATTATTTGTTAAGTTAGTACTTTGAAGATTTAGAATACCTATATGAAAACACCCTTTCCTGAATACTGAATTAAGTTGCAGAAGGTTGAATTAACCCAAAGAAAATAAATTTTTGTATTAAAGTGGGAGATTTGATTATCTAATCATCAAAATCGATACAAGGGAAGAATAGTGTTAAGTGAAAAAAACTTCAATATTGTTTTCAAAATGCTTTGTACAATGTTGACTTCATAATGGGTTTGAAATTATGCTGTTTCACAAAGTATTAGATCAAACAATACAGCTCCAGTGAAAAGATCCAACTGATCAGAGCCACAAGTCCCTCAGTCTTCCCATCTTCATTTTGCTCCTCAGTGTGTGACACCTTCACACCTAGACCGTACACAACGGCTCTCTTCCTCTTTGCTGACTACTTAAAAAAGACAGGCAGCCTTTGGATGGTGTTTTTCCTTTGGCCTGATATAGAAAATCCATTCCTACGACTGGCTGCCTTAGGAAACAGAATTTCAGATTCCTTCCTTTCCAGCTCCTATTGAGTTAAATGCAGGGGCAATAAGCCAATCAATACAGTGAGGCAGTAAATGACAACTGAAATAAACAAGCAATAAGTCTCTTTTCTTCTTAGTAAATGAAGCAAGATGGGATTGGGAGGGAGATAAACCATAAATGACTCTTAATCACACAAAACAAACTGAGGGTTGCTGGGGGGAGGGGGGTTGGGAGAGGGAGGGTGGGGTTATGGACATTGGGGAGGGTATGTGCTATGGTGAGTGCTGTGAAGTGTGTAAACCTGGAGATTCACAGACCTGTACCCCTGGGGAAAAAATATATTATATATTTATAAAAAATAAAATTAATTAAAAAAAAGTCTCTTTTCTTCTTGAAATCAGTAAGCAATGGAATGGAGATGGTATTATACTATAAAAATTCAGAGACTAACAGAATTTGAGCTATAAGGAATCTTAAAGGCCATAAAATTTTCAGTACCTTTTGATTTTCAAAATGATTCTGAAGATTTGTCCAGAGCATTTGTTTTTGATAGATTAAGGCTCAGTTTTTACTATAACACAACAGCATTACCGGGAGGACGGTCACAGGAAATGTTTGGAATTGTATTCCTGTGAACTGCTTTTATGAAGGGAAGAAAAGATGTTCCAAAGATTGATTCCTCCTTTTCCAGGGCAGGTGAGGGGTCAGATCCCACCTCTGGGGCCTTTTATTCCATTTTGGTCCCTTATCTGGGCTCTTACCCTGCTGTCAGACTGACAGGTGGCTGCTTTCTGCATGCTGCCCTCAAAGGCCCTACTGTTAAATTTGCTGATTCTTCAAATTTAGGTACTCAACTAGTGACAGCAGAACCCTCAAGGTTCTCTGATGAATCAACAAGAGCTCAATTTTGCTGTATTCATACCTGTTTACATCTGGCTGTCAAGTTTAGGTCTAGGGGAAATTCGGAGAGTTTAATGTTAGAGGAAGAATTACAACTCCCCTTTTGCTAATCAAGAGGGTAACAGGCACAGGTTGGTTCTGAAGTTGGCAAATCGGCCTGCCACAGTCACCCTAAATAAAGCATGCAGCAACCACGTGGGAAGCAGGTGGCAAAGGCCCTTGGCCCCTTCACTGGAGCATCTTCACTTGCACCATTCCTGTCGCGGGTGGTCTTGACACCGCGCTTCGTGCGCAGTTAACTCCCCAGAGAGCCGCAAAGGACCGGCCAAGTAAAGCGGCCGCCCAGGTGATGGAGCAGGGGCACCGGTGCGGCCAAGAGCCGTACCCCAACCCTAATTCCGAAAAACGGCCCACTACGTCCGGGGGTGCCTGAAGCGCATGAGGCACCCGGCTCCTCGGGCTTCCCCTCCGCGCCCCCACCTGTAGGGCGGCATCCCCAAAGCTCCTTCTTGCCCGAGTGTTTTGGAAACCGTCAACGGAAACTCAGAGGCCAAAGAATGTGACGGGCGATCATAAATATGCAGAAGAGATGGAGCCCAAATAGCAGACGCATGGAACCAGGGCTCGCCGGGGTCGGGGATCTGGAGCCGGGCTCTCGCTGCCGCGGCCGCGCGGGCGGTGCCAAGACCGGGCAGGCGGCGCCGGCGCACTTCGGGCACCGAGCCTGCAAAAGAGGCCCCGGGCGGGCGGCCGGACACCTCGCAGACGGCGGGCAGCGGGTGCAGCGACCGTCGCCCCGGGGCTCCTCTGCCGACCCTCCGTCCGCCTCCGCGCCCAGCCCGCTACCTCCCGGCCCCCGACCCCAGCCCCGGAGGCGGCCGCTGTCCCCGGCCGCGCGGCCTGGCTGTATGGAGCCCGGCGCGGTGTCCCGGACAGCCGAGCCCGCCGCGGCGCGGGAAGGCACCGCGCGCCACGCTGAGGGCAGGAAGAAGATGGCGGCGGCCGTGGCGACGGCGGCGGCGGCGGCGGCGGCCTCCCACGCGCCGCTGACGCCAATGGTGCGCGCCGGCCGGCGAGCCGCGGATGGCGGCGGCAGCGGTAGCGGCAGCGGCCCGGGCTCCGGCGAGGGGCGGGGCGAGGCTGGGAGGGGGCCGGCCGGAGGCGGAGGCCGGGTCGGAGGCTGGAGGGAGGCGGTGGGGACAGTTTGTCGTGCTCGGAACATGGCGGGCGTCGGCGATGCGGCCGCCCCGGGAGAAGGCAGCGGTGGCGGCGGTGCGGACGGCCCAGAGCGGGACGGCCGCGGTGAGGCGGAGCAGCCGGGAGGCGGCGGCGGCGGCGGCCACAGGCCCCCGCCGGCGCCTCAGCACACGGAGACGCTGGGCTTTTATGAGAGCGACCGGCGGCGGGAGCGGCGCCGCAGCCGCGCAGGTGAGGCGAGCGGGCGGGAGGCGCTAGGCCGCGCGGAAGGCGCGGAGGGTGGTGGGGAGCGTCGTGCGATCCCGTGCCCCTGCCCCGCGGCTGCAGCTGCCTCCGGGGCCACCCGGGCTGTGGGTGCGCGAGCCGCCGCGGCTCCTGGAGCTCCATGGCTCGGCAGCCGCTGACAGCTCGTCGGGCGGGGTCGACGCGCGGCACTGGGGTCCCCGCGGCACACGCCGGGCCAGGTGTGTCCGAGAGACCGCGCGGCGGTCCGGGAAGTTCGTCCCGGGTCGGCTGACAGCTTTTGAAGGGTCCTTCAGAAAGACCCCCGCGCTCTGCTTACGCCCGGTATCGTTGGCGAGCACCTCTTACGTCGCAGGGAGCCCCAGACTGAGAAGCTCAAGGCTGATTTCTTAATTACTTTCGTGCCAAGGTGACTTTTTCATTGTGTATTTTAAGCGAACTTGAGCCATAGAAACCTGTTAAGTTGCCCTCCAAATATGTGTTCCTCAGCCGCAGCTATCAATGTGCTAATGACCGTGAAGTTCAGTACTTTGCCCAGAACAGAAACACGGAGAAACATCACTTCAAAACGTTACCTGTGAACTTTTCCTAAACGGAAACGTAAGCCTCTTAAAAAAAGAAATAAATAAATAAATAACGGTTGTATAGGAAAAGATGCCTTTGTGAATCCTACTCTCAACGACCAATTTTAAGCATGTTGTTAGAATATTATTTTTTTACATGTGGGATCCCCTTTTAAAAATTTAAGTTGCATTTGTATTCGTACTGTAGTTGTATATTAGGCTTAAAAAGATTTTGAGATACATGTTCCATTGAGTATAGTGATCACATTTACATTTTTATGTAATTCTGTTTTAAACGGCAGCTGAGCTATAACTCCATTAAATTTCTTCCCCCAAAATTGCTTCTGGTGGGCAGTAGGGGCTCCATTAGCTGTTATTTCCTTCAGTTCCTGCAAATGAATGTTAACTCCTAAGGCTTACAGTATCATTGATTGTACTTGAATATTGAAAATGCAGGAGTACCTAAACACCAGAAGGTTGATCATGTGAGATCCTGTGACTTGCTAATTCTCAGAAATAGACACAGGTTAGATTTTGAAGAGGTCTGTATCTTTGAAAAATTAAGTACAGACTGTGCCTTGTTCAGTCTGTTTCAATTAACCACTTAAAAATGCTCAACTCTGTTTGGTTTACTTGTCAGTTAAATACTTGCTTTCAAGAGTATTTACTTTCTTAACTGGCAGGATCTAAGTAAGACAGTATTAAATCTCTCAGCCGACTGTTTACTGACTTAGACTTCAACCTTAAAGACACTCTGATGCAAATGGAAACAAGGGTGGCCAGGTTTCACTACAATGGCTTTAAAATATTTCTGAGTTTCAGGAAAGCCGATATTATAAAAGCCTTTTTGGTTGTTGTTTGCATACACAGAAAATGAAGTAGTCAGGAGCCTTTTGATGAGCACAAATATTAGGTTTTTGGAATAACCCCAGCACCCCTTGCCCGGCCCTTCCCGAGATGGGTCTGAGTATCTGGTACCATGGACCTACTCAGACTTCACACCACGCACGCATTCTTCATGAACATGAGTTTGTGAGCATGGTTTACTTAACCTGTTGGAAGTTGGACTTTTAACCTAGTTGCAGAAAGTCTTTATCCGGGAGACACTTCCAGCTTTAGTTGTTGGGGTGGCTCTCAGTGTTTCCCTAATTCCATCAGTCTTGTGTGAGGAGAGATGACCATGGCAGCTCTTGGGTATCAAGACTTAGGTAAGAATCCCAGTAATATTTCAGCTGGGGTCACCAGCCAGTGTTGTACCATGTGGGCCCCAGGTGTGTCTGCTCTGCTAGTCACAGAGCTCTTGTCCCTGCTGGTATCCCCCCTCTAACTCTGATGCCACATTGGTTGGAGATTAGAACTCTTTCAGCCATTCTTAAACACGTAGCTGCTAAGCAGCTCTGCTTCACCTTGCTGTTCTAGCATTTCCCCTTTCTACTGCTCTGTAACCTTTTCCTCCTCCCTAGAGCCAAGTTTAAAAAAAAACTGTTCCCTAGGGGCTGGCCTGGGCAGTAGGGCCTTTGAGTGGCACCACCTAGTGTCATGTGGGAAGCATTTCTCCCTGAATCAAATGTCTTCCAAGGCTCTGTGCTTATACTTAAGGTATTAATTGTCCATTAAAAAAATTCTTTGTGTGTGTGTGTGTGTGTGTGTGTGTGTGTGTAGTTGACACACAGTGTTGCATTAGTTTCAGGTGTGCAGCAGTGTGATTCAACATCTCTAGGTTATGCTATGCTCACCACTACCATCATCACCATACATACCTGTACATTTTTTTAATTCTCATGCCGCCTCTGATACTTTAGTCCTCCTCTCCAGTTTAGGGCAACCTTTGTTTTTCCCTTTGAAAGTCATAATCTTAGCATCTTGGTGACCTAACCATCAGTTAGTTCAAAAGTCCTGTTATCCTTTCTCCCGAGGAATTTAGGGGTCTTATAGATGTTTGTTGGCCTGTCCCAACAACCTAGGATTCCATGAATGAATATACAAACCAGGTGCTTCTCCACACCTTCCCCATCTAAGTAAAATAATTCAAAACATAGTATTGAGGTTAATATTTTTATACTTATTTTTGTCCTTTTATATGTTTAGAAGATACATATCAATATTCATTTGGGTATGAGCCATTACATATACCATGTACATGTATCTACACCAAGTGTAAGCTTTCGTTTTGTTTCTCATTTCAAACTCTTTGAATCACTTGCTTCTCTAAACTCTGACTTTGATTTACATGTAGTCTGGTGGTGAGTTGAAACTGTGGTACTAGTACGTACACCTTAACATAGTGCGAACGGATACACCACTCATCATACCTGTTCTCTTCCTCTCTGTTAGAGCGTTCGTTGTATATTCCACTGTTGCCTTATGTGGTCAGTGTTCTTGGACTTTGGGTAGAGTGCAGAACTACAGATTCTTTTGTTACTACTTTTAAAAATACTACCATAAAATCTTAAAAAAAAAAAAATAGGGTGCCTGAGTGGCTCAGTTGGTTAAGCAACTGCTTTTGGCTCAGGTCATGATCCCAGAGTTCTGGGATCAAGTCCCGCATCAGGCTCCCAGCTCCACAGGGAGTCTGCTTCTCCCTCTGACCTTCTCCCCTCTCATGCTCTCTCTCTCACTCTTTCTTTCCCTCTCTCAAATAAATAAATAAAATCTTTAAAAAAAAAAAAAACCCTACCAACTTCTATTGTCCTTTTTGACGTGAGCGCAGATCATAAGTATGTATTACCATAGTTTTGTACTCGTTCCCCACTTTACTTATCTGTAAAAGTTCTAAGGGGGAGAGTTCCTGTATTACCATGTTCCCATTTAGGAATCTATATCTAGCAGGTCAACTTTGAACTAAGAATTAGGCAATCTGTTCTTGGCTTGGTTTGGTTGTTAAATTGTTCTTAGACTCTGTGCTTGCTTAGACCACTTGCCTAATTCCTTTGGCTCTGTTGTGACTCCACTACTAAATGGTTCAGTATCTGAGTACCTAAATTGACTCTAGTACCCGTGAAGACTTAACAGTAGAAGAATTGGTGTAAAATAAGCATGGTACCTACCAGTGAGGATAAAACAATACCTATATGTAGGTGTTGGAATATGCATAGGGATAGGTGTTGCTTGTGAAACAAAAGAGCTTAAAGTAAGGTTGTGGGTGAACAGTATTGTGCCTGATTTCATCAGTGCTTTGGGGCCTGTGCTTTTCCTTTTGTTTAAATGGTGACTCTCCACTTCTAGAGCTTACACTTGTTATCCATCTCTTTTGCTGCTTTTCTCTTTCTTTACCCATTTTAGACGTCTTGCTTTACCTCTATGAGGGAATGAGCAGAGGCAAGAGGAAAGCCTAAACCCCAAAAAGCCAACTGAGCTCCTTTTTATAGTTCCCACAAAAGACTTCGAGCGGGACAAAGGTTTTAACTGTTCATATTGTCTATACCCTATTTTTTGTGTAATTGAAGTTTTAAGTTCTTACTACAATTAATTTATTTTATTAGAATACTTTTTCATTTAATTGGTCCTTATCCTCCATAGAATATGTTACATGGTTAGCCCTGTGGCCCCAAACTTATCGTATGGATGATTAAAGGCTGCTATTCTGAAATTATACTCTAGTCAATTAATTTCTCACTTAGAATGGGAAGTAACAACTGTAAAACTGACGGTGAAGTTACTTGGAGTAATCACAACCCTGATATAGGTAAGGTAAAACTACCTTCTCTTTGTCACACTATTGCTCTGCTCTTAAAACTCTCACTTGCTTTATTTAACTAGTACATGTAAATTAAACAAGTGGTGAAGTTATTCATTTTGGTCTTTGACCGGGCAGTATTCTGGCTTTTTAAAATGTTTAACTTCATCCTAGTTTACCCTCCAAAATTCATCCCTGGCTGCTCTTTTGCGGCCCAGTTTGAAGAATGCTTGGGTGAAACAGGTCTTTGGAAAGACTATAGCATTGACTGTCAGATTATTGACATTCTGATCCCATTTTTAGTCCTTAACCCTGTAACCTTGCGACCTTTGAGAGTTGCTACTCCTTGTGTCCCTGTTTTCCATCTATAAATGTATAAATTCATGAATATTCTACCTACCTACATGAGACTATTTAGAAGCATTTTGAGGGTGTTAAAACCTTGAGTGGTACCTTTACCATTATTTGACTTAGGAAGATAGAATCACTATTGTATTGATTTCTAATTTGCCTTGTACAGAGATGTACCTCTATGTTTGTGTAACAAACTTTCATGTAATATTTTTACATAACGTTAGTAAAGTTTATTACCATTTTACATTATTTAAGACTGGAGAGTTACATGTTTTATAATATTTTCCCAACAGTTAACCAGTATTACTTTCCAATTTTTTAATGATCAGTGCTATCTTAAGAAAGATATATTTAGACATATTACTTAACATTTAAACATATTTATGGTTACTCAT